TGAGATGATGTGGTTTCTTACACAGAATAAGGCACGCAATATATTTCATAGTATTTAAGCAGTGATAAAGGCATTGCATTATAAATATACTTTATTTTAATGAAAACGATAATAATAAGAACTCAGATAAACCGTATATTGCCGTAGTCGTGTGTTTATTAGTCACGTTGAATCAATGAAAGCAGTTGAATCTTCTGTTTATTCAGCTGCAGCGATAGGCATTTTCTGGGTTTCTTCTGCGAGGCGTATTTGGAGTTTCAGCGCGAGAGCGCCCTCTGGCCTTCGGATGTAGATTTACTGCTGATCACAGAACCGTGTTTCACTGAAAGATACGCCTGACAATCGCAGCTTCTGTCGAACCGCGATCTCGATTCCATTTCGATTTATCGTGCAGCCCTACCATATACTGTACATTCATAGAAATTAAAACCTAAAATATTGATGTTAAAAAAAAAAAATTCACTGCAAAGACATTCTTCAACTACCGACTGAATTGAAGTTTTTTTTTTTTTTACGTTGATCTGTAGGCCTATATTAGTTTTAAGTTTTTAATTAGTTTTCAACTTTTTAGTTAATCTCAGACTTATTTTTAAGTATTTGTATTTCTGTCTGTAAATACTTGAAATAAATACACTTTTTTTCATACATTCATATAAATTGAAAGCTAAAATATTGATGTTAGGAAATAAAACGTTTATAGTAAAGCTATTCTTCAACTCCAAACAATCATTTATGATTGAGTGAATTTAACAAAATAAAGTTTAGTTTCATATTTAAGTTTATCATTTACTAGTTTTTCAACTTTTTAGTTCATTTCAGCAGTTTTTCTCTAAATGGTTTAATTTGAAATATATGAATTTGGTTGTTTTTGTTAACCTTTGAAAAACAGGTTTCTGATAGTGATGTGTTCATTCATTGTGGCTTTTTAAAATGTTTTACATTATTGTCATTATTATCCTAAAATTGGTAAATGTTTACATGTACATATTGAGATATTGATGTTAAAAAATAAAAACTTCGCAGACAAGTTATTCATCAGTTACCTACTATGATTGACTGAATTTAAGAAAAAGTTACATTGATTCATAGATCAGTTTTACACTTAAGTTTATAATTAGTTTTTCAACTTTTTAGTTACTCTCAGGCTTATTTTTACAGTTTTGGTGTTTCTGGACAAATTAATAAACTTTTTCGTATACGCTCATATAAATTGAAACTTAAAATTAAACTTTTACAGGAAAGTTATTCCATGACTATAAACAGTAATTTATGAGTGAGTGAATTTAACAAAAACAAAGTTAGTTTGATACTTAATAATTGTAATAGTGGTGTGGTTATTGATTTGTGATGTTTTTGCGTCCGCAGCATTAGCTGACCTGCAGTCATGGACCCGGCTTTACCTCCAGACCTGAACCCTGAGCCTGAACCGGCTCCAGACGTCACTTCACAAGCAGACGCCGTTCAAGATTCTCCAGTCCAGCCCACCCTGGATTCGAACCCGCAGCCATACCTGGAACCGGTTTCAGATCCGACCCAGGAACCCTCTGTAGAATCGACCTTGAACCCAGAAATAAAGCCAGAACCATCAGCACCAGAACTCACACCAGAACTACCGATCCCAGAACCGGCCCCGGCTCCAGCGCCTCCTCCAGCGGCTAACTCCTACAAGATCATGACCTTCAGACCCACCATGGAGGAGTTCAAGGACTTTGGGAAGTACATCGCTTACATCGAGACCCAAGGAGCTCATCGTGCCGGTCTGGTGAAGGTATCGAATGGAAGTTTGATTTAAGATGCATTTAAATTTTAAATTAAATGGAAGTTTGATTTAAGTTTATATTTAAATTTTAAATTAAATGAAAAGAATTACATTTAAATTTAAAAGTAAAGTTTAATTACTCATTTGTTAGTGTCATGAATAACAATAAGCAACACTTTTTGACAGTATATAAATCTAGGTTAATAGGGATGCACCGAATGTTCGGCGTTCTTTCGGTGTTCGGCCGAATAATATGTACCAAACAATGACTAACGCGATCAAATAGAGGCACAGTAAAAAAATTGTACAGTAAAAAAATACATGCCTGATTCAAGTCTCAAAAATGGCCAAAAAATATTATTTTACTAACTTATTCATTTTAAGTTAAATTGTGCTTTGTTGGTATAATGTCTGTTAGAATGTTAAAAAAATGTTCAGTGTTAAGTAAATATTATTAAATTCATGTGGAGATTAATGTTTTAAATATAAAATTTTGAATACAGAAATATGATTTAAATAACTTAAATTATACGCTAAAAATGAAACTAAATCCGCCAGCAGGTGGCGGCAAGTCACTGATTTTATGACTGAATCATTCATTCAATTGATTCGTTCGAACGGCTGAATCATTCAGGAATGAAGCAAGTGACTGTCTTTATGAACTGACGGAAATCTTTCGTAGTGACGGAACTTTAATCCCTGTTGTTGTTTTGTAATTGATTTTTTTTATTTGAAAAGCAGGACAAAACAGTTTTGGCTATTTAATTTATGCAATGGTGAAAAAAAATGGCAAAATAGGCCTACATGGGGGAAAATTTTGAAAAAAACGTATTCGGTATTCAGCCTTTGGCCCAGTGTTTCATTTTGTTCAGCTTCAGCCGAGAATTTTAATTTCGCTGCATCCCTATAGGTTAATATTAATTTATAAATATGCTATTGTTAATTCATGCTCATTCATAATGAATTAAAATTAATATATACAACTTGAAATGTTAAACTAATATAATTAAAACAATTTTACAATAAATGATGTAAAAATGTCATTTATTGTAATTTCTTGTTTGTGTATTAAATAATGTTAACGTATGTAATTTACTGAAAAGTTTTGCTCACATGACCTCAAGCGGATTATTATTTTTATAAAACAATGACATCAATATTGTAAACTAGTGTTTTGTTTTTAATGTTAATAATAAAATACATTAATTGTAAAATACAATTACGTTTAATTCAAAGCTCAATTTAATAAAAATCATAAGTCAATATATAATTAAAATCACAAAATTTTGCAGTTTTCTTAAATTATGTATGTACATATATTAGTTTTATATCAGTATTGTAAATTTCAGTATCCTATTGGCCATTGGATTTATTGAAAAATATTTTATTTTTAAATGTTAAATTAATTATCTAAATTATTTTCTCCAAACTCTTTACTTATCATTAAAATTAGCATATGCGCAATGCAAAATTACAATACATAATAGTACAACGCATAATACTTTTAACAGCGTTTATTTATCACAATATTTTACATTTTTCTCCTTTGCTTTCATTAAATTATGTGTGTACATATATTAGCTTAATATCAGTACTGTAAATATCCGAATCATCACTGGCTATTTAAAAAACTATTATTATTGTACAATATAAATTTTTTTAAATATTAAACTTTTTTATAAAATTTTGCAATTTTCTTATTTGTTTTCATTGTGTGTGTGTGTGTACGGTTGTATATCAGTAAATAATAATATTTACTTTTTTAAAATCTCTTTTAAAATATTTTTTATAAAACTTTTCCAAACTCTACAATTACAATATACAATACTGTAATGCCATTCAACCATCTTGGTTAATGCTAATTTCTACATATCCTAATTAGGGCTGTGCGATATGGACAAAAAAACCTATCGCGATTTCTTTGATCAATTTTGCGATTTCGATTTTAATCACGATTTTGACACACACAGACATGCTTTACAGTCATTAATGCATTCAGTGTGAATTTGAAACATATTTCCAAAAGAAAACCAATTAGAGCTTTATCAAAAAGCTGTAACATGTCTCTAGAACAGACATAAGGCAAAATAATCACTAAGTAAAGGTGTAACAAAATGTCTCTAGAATAGACATATATGGCAGAAAAAAAAATAAAAAAATCCCGTGTCCAGGGATTTTGCCATGTATTGGTCATAGAGCTCTTTGTGGCGCTGCCTCAGATGTTGAACTAGATTTGTCGCGTCAAGTTCACACGTGCTCTGTCTGCAGTGCGTATACAGTATGTGGCATGAGTGCAATTAAATTCATGTGGAGATTAATGTTTTAAATATACAATTTTGAATACAGAAATATGATTTAAATAACTTAAATTATACGCTAAAAATGAAACTAAATCCGCCAGCAGGTGGCGGCAAGTCACTGATTTTATGACTGAATCATTCATTCAATTGATTCGTTCGAACGGCTGAATCATTCAGGAATGAAGCAAGTGACTGTCTTTATGAACTGACGGAAATCTTTCGTAGTGACGGAACTTTAATCCCTGTTGTTGTTTTGTAATTGATTTTTTTTATTTGAAAAGCAGGACAAAACAGTTTTGGCTATTTAATTTATGCAATGGTGAAAAAAAATGGCAAAATAGGCCTACATGGGGGAAAATTTTGAAAAAAACGTATTCGGTATTCAGCCTTTGGCCCAGTGTTTCATTTTGTTCAGCTTCAGCCGAGAATTTTAATTTCGCTGCATCCCTATAGGTTAATATTAATTTATAAATATGCTATTGTTAATTCATGCTCATTCATAATGAATTAAAATTAATATATACAACTTGAAATGTTAAACTAATATAATTAAAACAATTTTACAATAAATGATGTAAAAATGTCATTTATTGTAATTTCTTGTTTGTGTATTAAATAATGTTAACGTATGTAATTTACTGAAAAGTTTTGCTCACATGACCTCAAGCGGATTATTATTTTTATAAAACAATGACATCAATATTGTAAACTAGTGTTTTGTTTTTAATGTTAATAATAAAATACATTAATTGTAAAATACAATTACGTTTAATTCAAAGCTCAATTTAATAAAAATCATAAGTCAATATATAATTAAAATCACAAAATTTTGCAGTTTTCTTAAATTATGTATGTACATATATTAGTTTTATATCAGTATTGTAAATTTCAGTATCCTATTGGCCATTGGATTTATTGAAAAATATTTTATTTTTAAATGTTAAATTAATTATCTAAATTATTTTCTCCAAACTCTTTACTTATCATTAAAATTAGCATATGCGCAATGCAAAATTACAATACATAATAGTACAACGCATAATACTTTTAACAGCGTTTATTTATCACAATATTTTACATTTTTCTCCTTTGCTTTCATTAAATTATGTGTGTACATATATTAGCTTAATATCAGTACTGTAAATATCCGAATCATCACTGGCTATTTAAAAAACTATTATTATTGTACAATATAAATTTTTTTAAATATTAAACTTTTTTATAAAATTTTGCAATTTTCTTATTTGTTTTCATTGTGTGTGTGTGTGTACGGTTGTATATCAGTAAATAATAATATTTACTTTTTTAAAATCTCTTTTAAAATATTTTTTATAAAACTTTTCCAAACTCTACAATTACAATATACAATACTGTAATGCCATTCAACCATCTTGGTTAATGCTAATTTCTACATATCCTAATTAGGGCTGTGCGATATGGACAAAAAAACCTATCGCGATTTCTTTGATCAATTTTGCGATTTCGATTTTAATCACGATTTTGACACACACAGACATGCTTTACAGTCATTAATGCATTCAGTGTGAATTTGAAACATATTTCCAAAAGAAAACCAATTAGAGCTTTATCAAAAAGCTGTAACATGTCTCTAGAACAGACATAAGGCAAAATAATCACTAAGTAAAGGTGTAACAAAATGTCTCTAGAATAGTCATACTGTATATCGCATTAAAAAAAAAGGGATTTTTTTTGCCATGCATTGGTCAAAGAGCTCTTGTGGCATTGCCTCAGATGTTGAACTAGATTTGTTGCGCCAAGTTAATTAAACATAAGTTGTATTAATTAACAATTAATAACAATAATATATTTATAAATTAACCTTGAATTAAAAGGTCTGTAAATGCATTTATTCATATATTCTTAATAACAAGATTGTAATTTTTGTTTTCTAAGGACTTGAACAAACACAATGAAATGCTTGTATCAGTTGTCTAATTGTACAGTTGTCGATCACAGTTATTAAAGTTGATGCGTTGTTATTTAGGTTATTCCGCCGAAGGAGTGGAAGCCGCGGCGTTCCTACGAGACCATTGAAGAGATGGTCATTCCCGCTCCCATCATGCAAGTGGTGACCGGCCAATCAGGACTCTTCACGCAATACAACATCCAGAAGAAGTCCATGACGGTCGGAGAATATCGCAAACTGGCCAATAGTAAAAAGTATGCTTTGTTTGATCAAAGACAATTTTTTAATAACATATACAATGTGGTTTCTTTGTAAAGTTTGTCCTCTCTTATCTGGACCTTCGTGTCAGTAACTTGACTAAAATTGACAATTAAAATCACTTTTTTGGGGGGGTATTTTTTCAAAAATATTGACAGATTAGTGAATGTTTGTATGTAAATGTATGACTAAGTTTGAAAAGTTTGCACTTTTACTACAGCCAGTTTTTCTTCGGTCCTTCAAGCTAATATGTGACCCTGGAGCACAAAACCAGTCTTAAGTCGCTGGGGTATATTTGTAGCAATAGCCAAAAATACATTGTTTGGGTCAAAATTATTTTTCTTTTATGCCAAAAATCATTAGGATATTAAGTAAAGATCATGTTCCATGAAGATATTTTGTTAATTTCCTACCGTAAATATATCAAAACTTCAGTTTTGATTAGTAATATGCATTGCTAAGAACTTCATTTGGACAACTTTAAAGGCGATTTTCTCAATATTTAGATTTTTTTGCACCCTCAGATTCCAGATTTTCAAATAGTTGTATCTCAGCCAAATATTGTCCTATCCTAACAAAACCATACATCAATGGAAAGCTTGTTTATTCAGCTTATTTATTCAAATCTCAATTTCGAAAAATTTACACTTAAGACTGGTTTTGTGGTCCAGGGTCACATTTATACTTTAATTTTGTATTTTCTTGACCGATCTCAGGTACTGCACCCCTCAACACAAGGACTTCGACGACCTGGAAAGAAAGTACTGGAAAAACTTGACGTTTGTGTCGCCCATTTACGGCGCCGACATCAGCGGGTCCCTTTATGACCCGGTTAGTCGCCTTTACTATGATTAGTGTTTGGTCTTGGCAACTAGCTGTTATAAAATACGTTTTTTTTTTTTTTATTTCAGTTAAAGTTGATTTTATTTTTTTTTTGGTTTTAGTTACTTTAGTAACCCTGGACGATTAGTCATATGCATGTGTTTTTGATGTTTTTTTTTTGTAAGGACATCACGGAGTGGAACATCGGCCATCTGAACACTCTTCTGGACATGGTGGAGCAGGAGTGTGGGATCGTCATCGAGGGCGTCAACACGCCCTACCTGTACTTCGGCATGTGGAAAACCACTTTTGCCTGGCACACGGAGGACATGGACCTCTACAGCATCAACTACCTGCATTTCGGTCAACCAAAGTCCTGGTGAGCATCCTGCATTTTTTTTTTTTTCATTTCAGTTAAAGTTGATTTTATTTTTTTTATGGTTTTAGTTACTATAGTAACCCTGACGATTAGTCATATGCATGTGTTTATGATGTTTTTTCTTCGTAAGGACATCACGGAGTGGAACATCGGCCATCTGAACACTCTTCTGGACATGGTGGAGCAGGAGTGTGGGATCGTCATCGAGGGCGTCAACACGCCCTACCTGTACTTCGGCATGTGGAAAACCACCTTCGCCTGGCACACGGAGGACATGGACCTCTACAGCATCAACTACCTGCATTTCGGTCAACCAAAGTCCTGGTGAGCATCCTGCATTCACCATATATGTGACCCTGGAGCACAAAAGCAGTCTTAAGTCGCTGGGGTATATTTGTAGCAATAGCCAAAAATACATTGTATGGGTCAAAATGATTGATTTTTCTTTCATGCCAAAAATCATTAGGATATTAAGTAAAGATCATGTTCCATGAAGATATTTTGTAAATTTCCTACCGTAAATATATCAAAACTTAATTTTTGATTAGTAATATGCATTGCTAAGAACTTCATTTGGACAACTTTAAAGGTTATTATTATTTCTTGACTGGTTTTGTGGTCCAGGGTCACATATGTGCGTTTAGTTGAGTTCAAAAGATTCAGAGGAGTTTGTTGGATATTTTTTAAACAGATGAAATAGATCAAAGTGATAAAGTATGATCAGATTTGGTCATTTTGGCAGTATTTTACCCAAAAAAAATGGCTTGACTTTATTTTATTTTCATGTGTATTTAGTACATTTTTTGTATAATTATAGTATATTAAAGCAATTAATTTTCTGTTTTATATATAAATATACTCTTAAAATAAAAAAAATGATAAAAAATAAACAAAAAAATAAATATTACAGTAACACACTTAAAAATTAAATAAAAAGTTCAAATATGTTTTCTTTTCATGTGCATTCAATAAATTTGTGTATTATAATTATGTGTTTTAAAAAAAAAAAAATGTCTTAGGAATAATTTTATGTGGTAAACAGTATTATGTAACAAATGCTGATGAAAACATTTAACAATAAAATTTGTGTATTATAATTATGTGTTTTAAAAAAAAAAAAAATGTCTTAGGAATAATTTTATGTGGTAAACAGTATTATGTAACAAATGCTGATGAAAACATTTAACAATATTTTTAAATATTTCGGTATCTGGAGGTTTATGAATTATCTTGCATTACTTACAGATAAAACAAGGAATCACAGTTAAAATTATATTAGTCTTCATTTCATGTGCATTCAATATATGTGTATAATTATATTTGTGTAAAATATTTTAGGCATCAATTTCTTATTTGGTAAATTATATTATCCCACAAATGCTGTTAAAAACATTACATTAATATTTTGTTGAAATATTTCCATATCTGGAAATGTTTTATTTTTAATATATTTTAGAAGTAATTTGTAATGTGTTTTGTATAGGCTTGATATGTGCATTTAGTTGAATTCAGACATTTCAAAGCAGTTTGTTGGTCATTTTTTTGACACATGGTCATTTTGGCAGTATTTTACCAAAATATAGCTTGACGTATGCCATGTATGGGTTTTGTGAAGATAAAATTGTGATCCATCAGTTTGATTGACATTTAGGACCAATAAGTGTCTAGCAAACTAGATTTATGCTTGATTTTACAGTACAAACCTGCTATGGGTGCAATATGAAGGAACTTAAATGTAGATCCGCTTTGGAGCATTTGGGGGCGCTGTTGTCATTCACATCAGCTGTAGACATTCAGGATGATGTCATCGAGAGAGATGAATCATGTGCCCTGTGCTTTGTCTCACTGTATCTCCCTCTTGCCGCATAAACGCACAACAGGCTCTTTATAGTGGAGCAGAGCTTTTCTGAAGCACTTGGTTGTGAAGTAAATCCTCCAGAGAATCGTTAGGGATGATGTACGTGAATGAGATAATGCTGAAGTATATGTGCCATGCTTTTATTCAATAGATAGAAGGATAAATGTACATTGACATCAAGGTTTTAAACGAGAACAACTGACAATAATTGACTAAAAGATGTGAAAACCAAGAATAACATCCCTTGATCCAAAATCAAAATGCTGTTGAAATGAATTGGTATTCTGTTGGTTTGTTTTCCTGAAGTTCAGCTTGACTTTTCCTCTCCGTTCTTGCGGAGAGAAGCTTTAATACTGTATTTTGAGGTTCAGAATACACAATTTTCCGGCTGGGCGTCTTTCCTGTGCTGAAAGAGTTCAAATAAACATGCTTTCAGTGTCCTTTTTTTCCACATTTGAGACTTTTTTCTTTTATCACATCCCCCCTCGCTCTCATGTTGCATCTTCTCCCTGGTGTATCCCCTCATTTTTTCCCTCTTTCGAGAAAGATGCAAGTGTGTTTTGCATACTTGCGCACAAGTCCTTGATGCCCTTGGCTTGTGTTGTCTTAAAGAAACCCTGAACAGAGCGTTCATTAGACGCAGCTGTTCTGTCAGTATCTCAGGCTGTCGTACAGAGGGATATTTCATCCATCTGTGTGTCTTTTAATCAAGCTGGAAAGCAGAAGTCAATCAAGGGTGTTTTGTGCCTGGGAAAAATTAATTTAAAACTGGTCAAAATGTAAAATGAACAACATCGGGGCTTCAAAACATGCGTGAGATGAAAAGCATAATAGGTTGCCTCACGGAAGAAAGGTTTTGTGATTTGAAGTAGAAAGTAGGAAGTGTTCGCAGTAAACAGCAGGGTTCCCACAAAATGGTAGAGTATTTTCCAGGACTGAAAATCCAAGTTTATTAAGTTAATTATTTTTTATTCATTTATATTTTTAATGATGCTGAGTGTTAAAATATTATATTTATTGTGAGAGCAATCTATACAAAGTGCACTTAAAATTTGTTAACCAATAGACCAATTTCAGTGTTTGCAAACAGTGATGACGTTTTTGTGGGCGGAGCCTATCTGGTGGCAGAAAATGACAGTTTTAACGTAGCAGTCTATTCAAGCCATGGAATAAAATAATAAAAAAGTAATTTTGAGTTTATATTTCAAAATTTTGACTTTTTTCTTGCAATTCCGAGATTATATCTCACAATTCTGGCAAGAAAAATCTACTCGTCATTCTTTCTTTTTAGTTTATAATCCCACACTTCTGTCTTTTTTTCCTCAGAATTGACAAACTCGCAATTGTTGACTTGAATAAAGTTATAAAGTCCGAACTAGGATATATAAACTTGCAGAATTGTGAAATAAAATAGGTAAATGTTATGTAAAATGTTATAGGTTTAAATAGTATTTCATGCATGTATTTCAACTGTAGGGCTAATACAATATGTCCCCTATATGAATATTATATAGACCTATTGTTTAAATCAAATTTATGCTTTAAAAGTAGGGTAATCATAGCAGGTTTCATCCATAGTCTGTCCATTTAAACATCTGCGTTTAGCTTCAAATGGCGTCTTTGACGACAGTGTTATATAACTATTATTTGCATTCCGATTCTGACATCCAAAGGCACAACCATACATTTTTTCTCTTATTCAATGGATTTTACCCGTTTCCCTCCACTTGTTCCCAGTGTTTTTCTGCCACCACAATGCGCGCGCAGCTGCAAGTGACGTAACTGTGACGTCTGCTCCAAATTGGTCTATAATCACAAATAACTGGGAAAGTCGTTGAAATGCATTGGTCACAAGTAGGTATTAAAAATACTTCAGAAATTGAATTCTATTTATTATGTAGGCTAATAGAAAATGCAAACAAATCCCCTTGCAGTTGTTCAAGATTGTAAACCAATTCATTTTTCATAAAATCACATTGTTTTTCATAGTAAACTATCTTTTGTCAGATCCTTTTATAAAAGTGCAAAGACAACGACTAGTGCTTTTTGTACCAAAAAGGCTCTAATAAGTTGTTTTTGTCAAATGTCATTTTTATCCTCACAATTTAGTCAGAAGTACAAAAATACACCAATGTAAATGTTACACAAATGCAAAAGTTAAAACTGTGTCTATTTCAAGAAACATTGTTTTATTCTTTATTTAACTTCAAAGTTTTAATGTTAAAAACGTTTTAATTTTGTTGTGCGTAGGTACCAGTACCAAAAGAGACCTGTAAAAATTATGTTTCTGTAATGAAAATGTTTAGTTCCCTGATCAAAAGATAGTTCCCAAATGAAACTGTGAATAGTAAATGCAAGAGTTAACATCAAGATCCCCTTATTTAAAAGTTGCATTGGGGCTAGATTTAATGCTAGTGCTTGATGCTTGTCTCTGTAGTGTTTAATGCATTGACATGGATCGTGTTGAAAGGGTCGTAGCATGTTTTTGGGTCATGCTCTGGTAGGCACAGGTGTCCAAATGGATAAGGGTGCAAAACTGTGATTCTTTAAGAGGCCTTGCGTAAGTCTAGCTTGCTCTCTTGAGTATCTTTCCGTCTCCATTTCTTCTGTGTCCTCATATCTCTCTGAAGTGTTAGCTCTTGATGTCTCTAGCTAAGCATTCTCTCTTTTTCCCGCTCTCCGGAGGCCTTATCTCAAGTTAACTTTCCGCACAGCGGAGAATGGCTAGGCTCATGCTCAGAAAAAAGGAAAGAGTAGAAAATTTACTCACCCTTCAACTCCGCTTAATGCAACTATGCATGCGCTCGTCCTCCCCACCCAAACACCCCCTTCTGCTTTTGAAATTGAATCCATTTTACTTTTCTGGTAATTACAGTATGTTAAAGTGTGTGTGGTAGCTGTTTGCCTAACCCTCTGTTCAGCCACTGTGAAATTAACTTCATTCGCCTCCAACTCTCCTCCCATCAAAGTCATAATTCTCGCCGCCTCCTGAGATCTAGTGTCAGATTCTTAAAGATTGCGGAGTGGCCCAAAGTGGTGCGCACGCTGCCGGAAATAATCACTGAGAGAGGGAGTGCTGCAGCTGAGAGGATAGCTTGATTCTTATTGCTTATTTTCTTGTTCTTGTCCTCTTCAAGATGATGACAAATAAAACCTTAACACTGCCGGTGGCGTCGACGCCGTTTGGCAGGTAGGGGTTTTGTGTTGCCGCTGTGGGATTGGAGAGATATTGCATCTGGGAAGTGAAGTACGGAATTGTTTCATGGGCCGTAAACAAGGTAAATGGGATGCGTCCCTTACATACGCCCAGGCACCTAAGTACCCTTGTATCAAAATCTCAAACGGTGTTTAGTAGGCGCTTTGTGTTAATTTCGTCATTCCGGTGGTACTAGAAGAACCTAAAGAAACTGGAGGCTTTCCTCCAAGTGGGCGTTTACAGTCACACCAAGTCAAGCGCCTCGGATTTACCTTGATTTCTGGTGCCCCTGGTGTGATTTTCGTCAATATTTGCCTTCCTCCCCAGACAGTTCCAGATCGAATAAAGCAGCTTTTGGTTGCCAGATAGAGTTACTGTCAGCTTGATCTGGTGGGGTTAGTGGGGTGTAAGATACTCCTGCTGGCAGGAAGCATTCATACCCTAATTACAGCCGCCCATCAGATCCAGCTTTTATCTGCAAGAAAAGGAGAAAAAGAGCCATCTAATTATTATTGATTTGTGGTGGCACCTCAAACACCAAATTAGAGTTGGGGTGCTAGCGGCCAGCTTTTCATTTCCCACTGGCTCCGTCTTTGGTGTTTCAGAGCAGTTCCCAATACATGCAACAAATGCATGTCATCGTGGGAATTGATTAGCATTCATGTTTGTTGCAGGTGGAGGCCAATTAGTGGCATCCTTCTGTTTTGTTGTGTCCTGCGCCGTTGACACTGTATGAAAGTTTTAAATAGTCTCAAGATCCCTGCGTGCGCTTAAATTGTGCTCCAATTTGGTCTTAAATGTTTTTGAATGCAAGAATGAGTACTTTGTGATTGGCCGCTAGTAGAGTAATTTCTACATGTAGGTGCCAACACAATAGCACTGTTTCGAAAATATGTGCCAAAACTTTTGAGTCCAGGGTCATTGAGTTCAGGAGGAACAGTTTATTTCAGAAAGTTCAGTTAATTATGAGATTGTGCTACTGCTAATTCCATAATTATATGAATATGGGAAGCACAGGCTGCTAATAGCAGCTTTCTTAGCATCCAAGTTTCCATCTCCATAGATCTTATTTCCATCCTGTACTTGTTCCCGTTTGGTTAGTGCATAGCCAGTTCCCATCCCTCTTTGTTTTCTCCCCATAATTCTTGTACTTTTTCTCCTATAACTTTTCAGTAAAAGCCACAACACATTGTAAAATAAAACAAACTCTTCTTGTACATCCCATCAGCTGCATACAAACACAACCCTTTAATCTGTCCACTTGGTATTCAGTTGACTTTCAGACGATCCTGCACTTGTGTAGAGAAAACCACTGCTGTGAAATTGGCCTGTGTTTAACTAGAAAGTGCCACTCGCCCATAAAATCCCCGTTTTGCCTCCGGCTGCCAGTAGAGGGCAGTGCGACGCCACTCAAAACCCTCCTGAAGCCACGTTCCCCTCATTGTGAATGTGTGATTTGGAGCTGGAGCCCAAGGGAGGGTGATGCACCGGATTTACATTTGCGTTCGAGGCCTCGGGAGGGTTTCGGCTCTCCGGAAACTTGAGGAAATAATTAGGCTAATACAGACAATGTCAATAACAGCGTCAAGCGAATTGAACCTTTAGAAGATATTGTGCTGTTTCCTTCTCCAGCGAAATCATTTCAAATTAAGCAGCACAGCACAATCTGTATTAGCGTTGCGCGCATTTGAGCCGATTAGCTGAAATAAATTGGCTCTCGCGCAGCAATTTTCCAGGCTTTGTCTCGGTGATGTTTGAGTACTTTGTCTTTAAACTAGCGTGTGACTGGTGAATGTGAAATAGGGGTGAAATGTTCTCTGTGTGTTTTATGATTTCGAGGGCTGTGTGATGATCAGACAGCGATTCTCACAGAGGCGTCTCGCTGCGCGTCCCTCCAGTGTTTTTCCCTCTCGTCTTTTTCCATTGATCCTGTTAATTGATCTCGGTTTTTTCCTCCTCACCGCAGGTATGCCATTCCTCCTGAGCACGGCAAGAGGTTGGAGCGGCTGGCACAAGGTAAGACCTCACATCCGTTCGTTAGCGTGTCTCCATGCAGAAATGGAGCGTGGTAGGTTAGGCGATCAAAACAGAGGTCATTTACATGTAAAAGCCTTAAAGGAAAAGGAGTGAAAACAGAAATGTTGGAAACCTGTTCTCATTTTGTTCCAAAGTTTGTTTTTCCTTTGGTGCAACAAATATATATATATATATACATACACACACACACACACACACACGTGAATTTAAAAAAGAAATGAACGGATAAAATGTTAAAAATATATAAATTATATAAATAATAGTTTTAATATTTTATATAAACAATAAAACTAAAACAATACCTATAATATATAATAAATACATATATGTATTATTATAGTATTATGCACTATTATGATATTATGTGTATTAACAGTACATAATATATACAATCAAAACTATCTATCTATCTATCTATCTATTATATAATAATATCCTATGTATTTATTTATATAAAATAAAAATATGTAGATATCTTTATAAATCTCTCTCTCTGTATATATATGCATACACACACATATATTTTAGTTTTTATAGACTTGTTTGGCATTGCTGGGAACGCCCACAAAAACGTCATAACCGTTTATGCCGTGGGGGAAAACAAACCATTCGAATTAACGCGCGGAGACCTTGTTAGGCGCTTGATCTTGATGATTTCGATTGATTTTTGCTTGGTGCAATGCCGAGAAGTTGTTGTGTGGTGTTCGGTACCTCCAATAAGTTAAAAAACCTGATCTGAAGATGTACATGACTGATAAACAGACGGACTACCGGAGGTAGCACTGAGCGGGTAGCACAGGTAGGCTACACTACTTAACCTGCAATGATCAGTCATTCGTCCCGTCCCCCTGCACCTCAACCCAGTTCTGATGGGGCTTACAGTAACTTAACCCTCCTTCGCATCACAATCAAATAAATCTCACTCCCTGATATTTTGTGATGTCATAATCTATTAAAACATTTATTTCATATTATTATACACAATCCCTTACGAAAATAAGCAATGGTATTACTATAGTAAAAGTATAGTAGGCTAACCATGTTTTTTTTGTTTTTTTTGCGTTTTTATTACCAATTGTAGCCTATAACCACAGTTTTACTAAAAATACCATGGTTAAACTATAGTAACCAACAACCATGTTTTTGGTATTTTATATACATATTTTCATGTTATCTTTTTATTTTACGGCATGTATTTGTGAAAATGATTAGGCAGCACACACCACATAGATTAAAGTTTTGCTTAAAATTAAGCAAAACAAAACGACAAATGTTTACTTTCACAAGCTGTCTCGTATAGGCTTGTAGTAAGCTGTCTCTTGCTCAATTAGGTAACAAAAA